AATTGCGCATTTGCTTTGTGTAATGTACTGTTGTATAGAGATGATTTAATACCTCATGCACAGGAAAATATTTTATGTAAAAAATTTGGGCATCTACAGATTTTGTTATCTGCTGGCAGTTGTAGAACCAATTTCCCGTGGGTAGTAAAGGACTGTACAACTTTTCCTAGGAAGTAAGGAGAGCAGTAGTAATGCTTTAGTCTCTTCCTCCATCTTGACATGGTTTCCTTCATCTCTCACATTCCCTTCTACTTCTCCTGAGAATACCTGGTCATTGGATTTAGAGAGTAACCAAGATCCAAGATCATTTATCTTAAATTTTCAGTTTAACTACATAGAAAACCTTTTTCGTTTGTTTGTTTTTTGGTACTGGGAGTCAAACTCTGGTTAGAATACCTTCTTGAATAAGGCTACATTCATGGTTTCCAGGAGTTAGAACTTGGACTGGTCTTTTCTTAGGAATTTGTTGAAATGTATTGAGGGGCAGTGTATTCTTTTTTCCAAATCTTTAAGGAGGGTGTCCTAATACATAATGGGGAATCCATACTGCACATTACCTTTTAGTAAGTAAAACTGGTTTTGAGATTATTTAAGATTTTTCACTGGGAAAGTTGCACATTTGAGTATTTTAAGAAACCTTCCAAAATTTAAAATATCTTGTTTAAGCTTCTTTAACCACAGAAAGCTTCACAAATCAAATAATGGTGCAGGGATGCATAAGTAACAGTTCATGATTTGGATCACTGAGTGATAAATTAATACTGAGGAAACAGGATTTGCCTCAAATCTGGAAGACGGTGCTTGAGTTTAGTTGGCCATTCAGCAGTAACTATGATGGAATTAGTTATTAAAGCATGAAAAATAATGGTTCCATTAACTATTTTGTGATTATTTTTTTTTAATCTACCATCTATACAAAAATTTCTCTTAGAAAAATATAAAAGAATCCCTGTTACATTGGTGCCTTCATGTTGTTGGGGTTGTCTGAAGCTTAAGGAGTGTGAAGAGAAAAGATATCAGAATGACTTTTGAATACTTTTTCAAGTTAACCTCTAGTATTTTGTGATTTCTTGTTTTTAATGTCTGAAATTGAGATATATCTTACAATCTGTGGAAATCTTAATTTGTGGCAGTTTGGAGGTTGTCATTGCCTGTGAATATTAACATTTAATTCTTGTACATACTGTCATTTCACATAAGCAGTATGAGTTTTTGGAACTACAAATGCTGAATTTATTTGCTAATTAAAATGTCTTTAAAAATACTGCACCAAGATTCCTTGTTGAATAATTATGGAGTTTCCAGAAAGGCTGACAAAGAGTAGTGCGGTATAAATAGAATAGTATTTGAGCAAATGGTGACCAGTCCATTTTTTTTCTTTTAACCTGCAAAGCCATAAACAAGAATCCTGGTGAAGGTAAGAAAGTTACCCACAAATGGGTTATGTTTTGCTGCTGGCGTAATGTACAGGAGAATTGCTATCTTACGTTAGTAAAATACAGATTGACAGATGTCCTCATATAGAAATACTAAAGCATCTAAGAGCAGTGATGGCAAACCTTTAGGAGGGGCAAGTGTCCGAACTGCAACCCAAACCCACTTATTTATCACAAAGTACCAGCATTGCAATTAAACTTAAACACTGGGATTTTAAATTAGAGAAAAAAACTCATGCACTAATAATCTTTTGTCTTGAAAGAAAAACATACAATACATGTGCCTTAGATTTGCCACCCCACCCCCCACTGAGCAAGAGGCTGTAGTGTCACGGATTCATGCACTGTGCTGGATTATCATGAAGACATTGTCATAATTATCTTTTTTCTTTTTTTCTTTTATGGCCTTACATAAGATAGTCTTGCAGCAAATACTGTGGCTCAAGATATACTTAACATTGAACCTTAGAGATTGTTCTGAAACAGTAAAAACTCAGTTGCTTCATTCTTCTTAATGGCTACCTACCATTTGTGATTGTGTTCTAACTAATTATATTGATAAATGCTCAAACTTGTTTTGGCTTTTGCAGTTGCTATCCTTAGCACCCTCTTACAACATTCTGTGCACATTTTATTTTTTTAACACTCTCTCATCTGTGAAATAAATTCCCTACAAATGAAGTTAGTTAGGTTAAAGGGGATGCTTGGATTTTTATCAGCCTTTGCCAGATTGCCTTCCCTGAAGATTTTATCTGCTCCTACACCAGTGAGGGAAGAGCAAATGAGTATCTCTTTCCTTACTTTTGCTGACATAGCATTGTTAAGCTTTTATCTTTGTCAATCTTGTTAAGTGAAAAATGGAGTCCACTTATGATTTTCATTTGCATTTCTTTTGTATGAGCATCTTTACATGTTTGAATTAGTCATTTGTATTTTTTTTGGAATCTTAGACTAGTGCTATTCTCATTTTTCCAAGATTTGCTGTCCATTTGACAATGATTTTAGGGCGCTGTTTTAAAGTGCTTCTCAATTTCGAGTAACATTTCGCAAAATGTGCAGTATTAATAGAATTGATAAAATTTGATATCTGTTTATATTCCTTTGGCAATCTCAGAAATGGTGGTTATTTTTAAAATAATACCAAACAAGAAAAAACAAAATATATAAATGGAATGAAAATGGACTTGTTCACCAAAAGTCTTACCAAATTTAGAATTACGTTTAGGTGAATAAGACAGGGATTTACTTCTGTTGTACACTGTCAATTTGCTTACTTTACTGTTCTAACAGATGGCCTTAGCTAAAAATAATTGTTGGTCCATGAAAGATTAGGTTAGATTAATCCTGAAGAAGAGCCAAAATGAAGTCATGTCATATTTCTTTAGACTTTTATGTCTATAAATAAAATCACCATCTTTCATTTAAATGTATGAACTGTGACTTCAGCATTTAAAGTTGTACTGTGTCTTGTCCAGGTGCCAAACTAGGGATATTTGTTTTTATTAGAGACAGCTTTAGACAGAGTGCAATGGACAGAAGATGATTGACCTATAGTCTTGTACAGTGCACTCTTGCTCTGATTACCTAATCCACATGATTCTTCTGTTGTGCCTCGGTTCCATATTAACCCCCTTTCTCTTGAGCCATTCCTCCACTTGGTTCCCTCTCTTTGATTCTTTGATCAATATGATGTCATTTGCCTTTATTTTCTCTTTATGTGCCAGCATTTACATAATGCTGGTGCTGCTCCAGAGACTTCATAAATGAATTCTTTGTGTGCTTCTTTAAGATCATTTTATCGTCCTGGGGTGGGGGGAAAGCGATAGGCTTAAACTGTCAGCCCTGTTTTAATCAAGCCTGCTGTTAGCCTATTACATTTTAAATGTATACTTATAGGATAACATTTTAGCAGTTTGAAGCAATTTAAATGGTTTGTGGTTTTGATTTATAGGTTGGATATTTACATTTTTTCAAAAAATTCATTTAAGTGATACTTGGCTTTGGCGTTTTTGTAAAACCATGTGCTCATTATATTGTCTTGAGTTCACAATATATTGCAGTATTTGACAAGATTTTATGATGTATCTCTTGTTTGGCATATACTTGTCCTAATAAACTTCTTGAAGCTTAATTTTGCTGTTGATTATGAAATAGCTTATTTATTCTGAGCCAGAATTTATTTTCTTTTATCACCCAGTGTCTTCACAGTTTACTTTCATGTCATGGAGTTTAATTTTTAAATGACCTAAATGAACTTTGACCAGCAATGTTCTCTGTGAATATAGGTATATGACTGATGGGATGTTACTTCGTGAAGCTATGAATGACCCCCTCCTGGAGCGTTATGGTGTAATAATTCTTGATGAGGCTCATGAAAGAACATTGGCAACAGATATTCTCATGGGTGTTCTGAAGGAAGTTGTAAGGCAAAGATCAGATTTAAAGGTGAAATGATTTATCTACTTCATTGTGTATATATAAAAGTGACGGAACGTGTTGAAAATTAATCAAGTATTAAAACTTACAAAGAAGTATCCAAATGCCTATGTTATTTGTTCCTAATTTAATTTGTTATGCCTTCATTTTAGACTTTGTTTCTCCTTAAAAGTTTTTAAGGCAAATCTCTCTGATTTCTAACTCACCCAGTTCTTTCATAATCTAACAGTTTTATTGTTTGGTGACCAGAATACTCACCTTTCTCTTCATTAAATATATAGAGACTGCCTGCTTTGCAGGTGCAAGGGCCTGAGTTCGATCCCCAGTAGCTCAGCGTTTCTATGTCACTTCCTCACCCCTCAGTATTTAGGATTGAATTTAAGCCTTTACATTGAGTTGCTTAGTTACTGAGCTTAAAATTTGAGGTCTTCCTGCCTCAGCTGCCCTCGGTGCTCTGATTATAGGTGGTGTGTGTCACTTGGCCCATTTTGAATCAGTTTAAGATTTTTATCATAGACTTCTTTGTAACTGATACATATATAGAACAGTGAGGTATTTTTTTCTTATTTTTTAAGACCACATAAGAACGCTGAAAGACAACTTTTAGTAATTTGCTATTTTATTTCAGGTTATAGTTATGAGCGCTACTCTAGACGCAGGAAAGTTCCAGATTTACTTTGATAACTGTCCTCTCTTAACTATTCCTGGCCGCACGCATCCTGTTGAGATCTTTTATACTCCAGAACCAGAGAGAGATTATCTTGAAGCAGCTATTCGAACAGTGATCCAGATACATATGTGTGAAGAGGAGGAAGGAGATCTCCTACTTTTCCTAACTGGTCAAGAGGTATGTTCACTGTCTGCTTTTATTATTTAGCCCCTGGCATATTATTTCTGTTAAACAACTTTCAACCTAAGAATTTGACACATATTAATCTTTTTTGTTCTGCTTTACCTTGGTATTCCAAATTTTTCTTATTAATATGTAAAATATATATGGCCTATTCTAGCTGCTGTAGGAAGTCATTTTTAATGTTCCAGTTAATTGTCCTAAGAATATTGAATACTTTGAGGATTTCATGTTTTAGCAGTTGTGGACCCAGCTTTGGAGAGGCCTTGATTGTAAGTTTATTTTATTGAGGTATGAATTTGTGTCACAGATGCTTTGATATCAAGCATTTGTCATAATTTTGGGAAAGGTTTTCAATTAGCAATAATCGCGCCTCAGATAAACCACGTTGGCTACGATACTGTCACTGCGCAAAGCTTGTCATAATTTTGTTTACCTTGTGATCAGTGAACTTGAGTGTTCACTGATAATCAAAACACTCCTGTGTTCTGTCTTCCATGTACTAAGTAAGGAGTATAAGGTGTCTTTACTGAAATTACCCACATTTTTAGATAACAAATTTTATTTTTAAGTATAGCAGTTTTTAAATTCTCGTCAGTGGGTTTGTTTATGTATGTGCTGTGAAATTCTTCAGTGGCTCAGATAAATTCAGGAGATACTGTTTGGATAAAATAAAGATAAAATAAACTTTTGGTTTTGCCAAGGGAGTTGTTAAAGCTTTACATTCATTCTGATAGTCTTTGTGAGTTTTCTAGTGTGTGTTTCTGAAACTAAGATTCCTGCAGGCTCTTATCCAATAGGTCATGGTAGATTCTGGGATGTGCCTTTCCAACAAGCATTTGTTAGTCCCAGTCTTTCTGGGTGGCAGAAATACTGTACACCTGTGTTTTTCACTGTGGTAGCAACAAAGAAACATTGGGCTTTTGAATGAACACTGAAAGGTTGCTAGTGAGAGGAAAGACATTTATTTGAATTTAAATCGCTTCATGTGCAGGCCTACCTTCTTGTTTTTATTTTTGCATGGCTCACTGGTTAAGAATTTCTTCTGCATTTTTATAGGGCTGTACATTGATAAAATAACATATTGGTAAGAACCATACAAAGCTTAACCCATTTTGGCACCTTTGATAGTAAGACCTGTAGGTGTAGTGGATGAATTGTGTGCCTGAGGGGAATTTGTTAAATGAAAGCAGGTTCTTGCCTCTGTTCCAGACTTGGCTGAAATAGCTGCAATTTGGAGATTAAATGTAAGAATATGCATCTTATAGAAGCTCCTTAGACCATTGTTACATCCTTTAGGTTTGAGGGTTACTCCTCTAGAGGGTAAATTTAGCCAGTGTGATGTCTGTGGTACATTGTAAATAGTGTTGTGAAAAATCAAGTCTGCACTACAATAAGTATATAGATTCTGTAGAGCTATTTGGTTGATAGTATTTGAGCAGATGCTTTGAGTTACCAAGTTAGCCTTGAATATTCTTCTTTGAAATCATGATGTACAGTGCATTTGCTGTGCTTTCCTTTCTGTAGAGCAGAGTTTTCTCATCCTCAATGCTGTATGTATGGTGGTCTGGTCAATTTCTTTGTTATGGGATGACCTGTATATTGCAGGACATTTATCTTCCCTACCCTCTACCCAGGGGATGGCAGTAATAGCCATAATACTTACTCCCTCAGTTGTGTGAACCATAGGTGTCTATGTGTGTGGGGGGGTGCAAAGTCATTCCCAGTGGGGAATCGTGCTTGTTCTTTTGGGAAATAAAATATGTTACAAATTCATTTTTTTTTTTTTCATGTAAACAAAGTTTCTGGCTTGGCAAACCGCCCCCCCTTTAAATTTTACTTATTTATTTTTTAATAGCTAAGGTCTCACAGTGTAGTTCAGGCTGGCCTTGAGCTCTTTGTGTAGCCTAGGATGGCTTCCCAACTCAGTGATCCTCCTGTTTCAGTCTCTTAGTGCTGGGATTACAGACGTGTGCCACTACGGCTAGCTTTATTTTAAATTGAATATTTCTGTATGTTTTGTAAATAAATGCTTGCAAATGTACCAGAGGGGATTTTTTTGTTTTGTTTTGTTTTTTATGGTGCATAAACATTTATTCTTTTAAGTTGTTATTGAGACCAGAGATGCTGATTTTGTCTTCTTATTCTGGTCTATAGTTTCTCATTTTTTCCAGAGTGAATTTTTTTCCTTATATGACTATTTAAAGTAGTTGTTATGCTCAAATAGATAACTAGGCATGTTCAGATTCTCTCTGAAGTACCAGGTGGCTTCATGGTAAGAATGCAAAAGGCTTTTCTGAGTCAGTTTCATGCAGTTTGTATTTTGGCAACTGTGAGTCCCATAGCTGGGAAAAGGAAAAACAGTAAGATCCATAGTTTGGTGTGCTGGAGTATGTTTTTAAGTTCTCTTTAGATACCTAGTCTTAATTCCATACCCTATGTATTTTGCATAGAATTCGTTGTTTAGTTGAGGTGAACTAAGGATATGTAAAATATTACTGTGTGTGTGTGTGTGTGTGTGTGTGTGTGTGTGTGAGAGAGAGAGAGAGAGAGAGAGAGAGAGAGAAAGAGAGAGAGAACCTTTAATGTTTATTTAGTTAAATCGTAGATTCATGAAAATCTGTACTTTTCATAAATTTGAGTATCCTTTATGAAACTCATTGAAAGTGGAGTTTTGAAGACATTACCATTTTGACTACTTTCTTAATGGCAATTCTGTAGTTAGGGTAGATACTAGTTTAAATTGGTAAAAGCTTGGGAAACATTTGAATTCTTAAAATGTTACTGTTAAAATAACACATGAAATAAGTGTTGCTAACTAGAAGTCCTTAAGCTGTACTGAGTTAGGTAAGAGCTTTTCATTGAAATACTGATCCTTTTACAAGAGGGTTCTTGAAGATGTTGAGCAACATATTCTTTTATCTGTTTGCTTGCTTAAGTACAGTAATTTTTCAGCATGCAGTGAGTTCATAGTAAGATTCAAACTAATGTACCAATATTGAAGCTTTCCTCGAATCAGAAACTCCAGGACTTTTACCTGAATTGTTGAAATTGCTGTTGACAGATGGCTGTACTTCATTTCTTTTCCCTCCCTGTTTGTGTTTATGTTTCTGAGGAGTACAGATGAGTGCTGTGGCATTCTGAACTGACAGTATTTACTCTGGAAGGTTGTTAACTTGAGAAAAATTGTATTGGAAGAATTTTTAAATTGTTTAAAACTTGTTTACATAAAACAAATTATGTGGGGCCAGGGATTTACCAATCCCAGTTTGATCCCCGGGACCAAAAAAAAAATGATGTTAACTTTTTTTTTTTTTACTCTTTAGCGGATGTCTTTATATCCTTTGTATTCATCCTTTGTAGTTCCATGCATTCTAGCACATTGGTTAGCATAGAGCAAATTTAAAGCAAATGTATGATTTGAATACTTAGTTTTTTAATATGTGAAATCTGATTATTAATTGACATCTCAACATTTATTTTCCAGGTGTATATGTGGTAGAATTGACAAAATTGCAGATGCTCTTAATTTTGGAAATTAACTGTATTGTCAAAATTTTTTTGATAGAGATCTTAATTTTGTAATAGTATGCCAGCAGGGGGCATTCTAATCTAGCTAGAGCAATTGAAGACTTTCTTTTATAAAAACAGTTGTTTCCTTTGTTAATATTTTTATTTGATAATTAGCATATTTTCATTTTCTTTTAGAAATCGGATACTCAAAAGAAACTTAACAGTGGATATAAAGGGAAGATAATTCTAGATTTATTTTAAAATCTGTTTGCTTGGAGTCCCTTCCTTTGTATTGATCGTTCTATCTTTTGAATAAAAAAATAATTTGTTGATGAGACATAGCCACTGATGATTAGGTTATTCATCTGCCTAGTACTTACTACTTAACAGATGCTCTAATGTACTAACTTTTCCAAGTTTAATTATATTACTGCTTCAGTGAAATTTAGAAGATGTATGTTCACTGTATATTCCATCTTTCAATTTTTAAGTCCTTAAGAGCTACTACCCCTCCTTTTCAATATTCTTTTTTCCCTTTCCCTTTAAAGTTAGATTTGAATGCATATGCATTGGAATAGTTTTCTTTGGTAGGAAAAATTTTAAGCTGCTGTGAGATATTTGGGTTACCCTAGTTCTTAAATAGCTATGTTGATACTGTAAAGATGTTTGTTCTCATTAGGCACAATGAAGCAAATCTTCCATATAATTGCATTAGTGATACGTGACATTAAAGCCTAATTGGCTTATTTAAAATAGCTAGCATGTCAATTTATTTTAGATTTTGAAAATTGAAAAGGTCATGAGTGCAGTTAAATATTCCTGGGTGAGAAATTTCAGTTTTAGTACAATTTGTTGAGAATTAATTAGGAAATCTGACTTTTTAAGAAAAGGGATGTGGAATGCAAATAAAGCAGTTACATATTCACTTGAGTACGGAAATCAAAGTTACTAGGGAGATTTTAGAAATCTCATTGGATTTTGCTAAATTAGTTTTGGTTACTAAATTGAAAGTAGGGTAGCCATGAAATAGAAGTAGATTTCATACATAAAAAATGGCATAGAAGTAGAATATTTAAAATGTTATCAGTATTTCGGTTTTCAGAATCAAAACTTTTATTTTATAGGAAATTGATGAAGCCTGTAAGAGAATAAAACGTGAGGTTGATGATTTGGGTCCTGAAGTTGGTGACATTAAAATCATTCCATTGTACTCTACGCTTCCACCCCAGCAACAGCAACGTATTTTTGAGCCCCCACCTCCCAAAAAGCAGAATGGAGCAATTGGAAGAAAGGTAACATTAGAAATATTATTTATAAACATTGCAGTAGTACTAAAAGAATTGGGGGATAGCAGACTATGTTCAGTTTTAAGAATTAAGGGTGGGTGTTGTGGTCTTGACTGTACGCAACAGGGTCTTTATTTGAAAAGTAGGTAGAAAAAAAATGTATTCAAGTGGAGTTGAACATATCTTTTGACCCTAGCAGAAGAAAATACACTGCTTCTCCCCACTTAGGCTGTTCTTCCTTGGCAAATAAAAGATTGGTTAGAGCGAGTCAAGAAAAAGGGCACATGGCCAGGTGTTGACTTTCTTCCATTAAAGCCATTGACAGAAACTAAGCACTTCTTTTTTTGGTGCTTTGGCTCCTTCCTAAAATTTTCTCTTAAAGTTTAACCAAATTTTATGTCTCTAGGTATGAATTGTTGACTATGTACAGATTTCTAACATCAGTAACACTAATCATACTGCATAATATGGGTTCCTTGAAGGCAGGAACTGTGAAATCTTTTGGAAGAGATGTGTTCTTGGCATGGATAAAAGGTTATTCCAACCATGTCTCTTAGGTACTTTGGAGGAATGAAAGAGCTAATTCCCAGTATGAAACAGCAGTGGTATTTCTATTTAG